CCTGCTACAGTAACTTTGGAGTGAGTTGGGCTGGTTCTTTCCGGCTTTCGCTTAGCCAGGTTGCCGAGATCCACAGCTGCAGCTAATAATTTTATTTCCTTACTGGTTGGAGTACAATGGTCTTTGTCTTATGAAATTGAAGTTGGAGAACCTGTTTGACTTATCTCTTGGGACAAGACTAGGCACGGTGAGGAACAGATCATTCTTGGGTGAAGAATTCATTCGTTGTGAAGACATTCTTATTTTCGACATTTGCAAATGTCAAAGAGGTAATTGCAAATACTGAGATAGATTTACTAGTTCAAGCATGATATTTTACATTTTTAGACAAGTTTTTCACTAAATCCCAATTTTTAAACATTTTTAAAGTATCTTTTTCCTCAATATAACCAGTAGGGTGAGTATTCAAGAGCTGAATAATAAAAACAATGAAAAGCTACTTGAATTTGAATTCAGTTTTAGCAACAAGATATTCAGTATATTTCAAGCTAATAAAATATTCTATGGAGAATTAACAAATTTGTAATGTTTTAATGAATGTAACATTTATCATTCATCTTCTTCAGTTAAAATTTCCTTTTTTTCCACTTCATGAACCTTAAAATAACTGATGTTTTTATTAAGATTAAAGATGTGATAGAAAATACTGATTACATGCAAAGCGCAATCTAATCTGGTGACAAGCAGCCATTGGGATTACTGCTCAGAAAGGGAAAAACACTTATTTTTTCCTCCTACCAGTTAAATCAGTGACACCTCAGTGGTGCAAAGATAAGCACTAATGTTTGTTTGGGGTATGAAGTAGAGTTTGGCAAACTTAATTCCTGCTAATTGCCTTATTTCCTTCTCCTATAGAAAGGATGGCTTGTAGCAGCCCTGTCTTTCACTGAATGATGAAAGATGGTTTGCTGTATAAATCAGTGGTGTGTCAGACAAAAATAGCCAACCTTATGGGAGTAGTGCCATCTTCTGTTTTGTTTTTTTTAAGTTTGTTTGGTTTTTTTTCAATAGTGCTACATTGCCCTCCTGTGGGTCAGAAGCATAATTTTTGTTGCAGTAGTCATTTTCTCGCTCAAATGGAGTCCATTGCTTAGCATTAGTAGCAAGACTTGCTGAAGCCTTAGGCCGCAAGCCGTGAACTTTCTCCGAGCTATGTTTTCAGCTGGGATAGAACTAATTTTCTTCTTAGTAGCTGGTACAGTGCTGTGTTTTGGATTTAGTATGAAAATAATGTTGGTAACACACTGATGTTTTGGCTGGTGCTAAGTAGGGTTTATCCTAAGACCAGGATTTTTTCAGTTTCCCATGATCTACTAACGAGCAGGTGTGCGAGAAGCGCATACCAGAAGATCAGGAGGCTACAACCATTAGCAGAAGCTGTGACTTGGCAGGGTAAGAACAGCTGACGGCCTGCCTGCCTGGAGACAGAGAAAGAATCCAGTAAAGTGTTAGAAGACCCCAGACCAGAAATCACCATTGCCCAAAAGGGCACATGAAGGGCAAGCGCATAGGTGTACGGGAATAATTGTCCAGGGATTTCTTTGTTCAGGGTCCCTCCGTGGAGGCAGCCAGCTTGAGCAGATTCTGCTGCTGTACCATTCTATTAAATTATTTATTTTTATAAAATCTGGTGCCTGAGAGTCTGCTGCAGGAAACCTGAGGTCGAACCTGAAGGAAGAGGAAGCAGCCAAGAGCGAGCGTGTTTGTGAGCGAGGCGATGGCAGGGGCACCCATCGGCTTCCTGGAGTCACCTGCTGCGATGGGACGTTGGTCCTCGCAGTTAAAGTCTCCGGTGGTGTGAGTGTGACTCCTCAAACGGTGTGAGAATGCTCGGAGAGCAACCTCTCCGTATACGTGGCCTTTTATTCATTTGTGACCAAAGTTGTTCATGGTGTAGCTACTATTTAAGTTACTGAAAATGCACAATGACTTGGATTTGACTAAAAAAAAAAAAATAATCTGAGTAAAGACTTCCATACTTCTGAAAACAAGAAGTGGCAGCTACTACTGTGGTTATCAGCACTCTTTGTTCAGTCTGGGGCAAAAAGTTCATTTCAACAGCTAGCTTGGAATACCGATTTAAGCAGCAACAGTTCCAAAGTCATTCCTCCAAGGGGAAGTGGGTTTTCTGTCTACTGCAGTGGAGAGGCAGCTGTACCTCTGCAGCCCTAATGTTCACAGACTCGTCTACCAAAATGGACAAACGTATTCATGACACTTCTTTGCTGATAAGTTGGCTTCCTGTCGTATCCTATATCCTGTGGCAGATCATCAGTCATGTTTGCTTCAGAAAGTGAACAGAGCCCTTCCCTTCCAGGGTTTCAAGGAGGAAACAGAA